TCGCTGCGCTCGGTCCGTACCTCATGATATCTTCCCGTCAGGCCCGACTAACCTCAGTCAATAAGCATTTTATCGTATGTCTACTAAGTGTTGAAAATTTCAACTTAAAGGACGCGATGGAAGCAAACCTTTCAAGTGGCACGGCAGCTCTATTGGAAATATCACGATCTGTCAGCAAGATGCTTATTGGTGGATGAAGACCTCGACACAATTTGAAGTTCGGCAGCTGGAGGGCCGAGGAGTTTGGCCTGATTGGCTCAATAGAATGGGTAGAACAAAATCAAACAATTCTATCTGATAGAAGCGTTGTTTAATTAAACACAGACGTGGCTGTAGGTGGTAACTACACTCTAGCAACCCAAAACTGCCCCCTTCTCTCGAAGACCATAATTGTTTGGGCTAAGAAAGTCAAATATCCCACCGTGTATGGGAATAAAACTAGTCTGTATGACATCATGGTGGAAAGAACGCCTTCTCCGAACAATCCAAGCGAGCCCTATGTTGTAACATACCTTTTCCTCAATGATTACTACCCATTTTGTATGTATCTGGGGATCCTATCTGCCGATCAAGTTCAGCTACTTCTATGGAACTGGAATGGAGCTGTACCCTGTCTATCACACACACTAAGAAAATCTTACAGCTGCTGCCGAATTCTGCTTAAGGTGGTACTTTTACAAGTATCATGAAGCGCCTGAATTTATAAGACAAAGTTAGCGGCTATTATGGGGGTCAATGACCATAGAGGCTTAAAAAATACATACTTAAAATTTAAAACGTGTAAGGCATGATGAGAAAAATATTTTTGGGGTCATGGTTTTAGCTTAAAAGGTGGTGCTGCCTAGCTTAGTTTTAAATTTTTTTTTAAAAAATAAGTAAAAAAGAAAGTGGTTAAAAAACCTTTACCTGTCAATGAACACCAATGGTAACGATACACGAGTTTTGAAACTGTGCTTAGTTTTGGAATTTTTGCATAATGGTTATGTTACAGAACTCTTTTTGCGATTGATACTGCGATCTTATTACTAGGGAGGAATGGCTTGTACGCGGAAAATACATTAAAAAAAAAAGGATAAGCCAGTCGTTATTTTCACGTGTGAGTTGTTTTTTAATTAATTGAGACTAAAAACCAATATTTAAAGACATTTTATTAAAATTTTTCAGACTCAGCAATAACAAAAACAAGTTTTTTATGCTTTTTCGAGATTAGATGATTTTTTCAAGCCTGCAAGATGTAAACACTCCGGGCTCAGACAAAAGTTAACTGGAATTGTAACTACACGTAAGCGTGGTTGTTGGCACTAGTTAAAAAGATAAGGTTTTTGAAAATAACTATGCTTTATATTATAGAAAGATGGTTCAGTATGTAGAACCAGTTTAATGCCTAAAAAAAAAAATGGTTTTGTATGTAGTTTTAGCAGTTGTTCTAAAATTGTTTAAAGTTTGAGCAAAAGATGATGATATTTCCTTTTCCCCAAATACCCAGTTCAGTATTTGTAACAACACACGAATGGTTGTTGGTGGAAAAGTCAGAAATGGATGAGAAGGCCTATGATTCTTTTGATCCAAGTTGTTGGTAACCTGTGATACAAAAATCGTTCGCCTGGGAAACGCCAATTAAAAACGACATTAGGAAGCTTTGGATGAATGTTTCAGCAGCTTCAGCTTTTAAGAGGCTTAGCAACGTCTTTAAATCGCGCAAAACATGGCTTATTCTATTTTCTTCGAACACATAAACTTGCTTCTACTACCGTTTCAAGCCACCTATTCATCCTTCGACTGGTCTGAATGCATTAGCCTTGTCTCCTACGACAACGTCTTCGGCGGCTGCGTCGGATGATTCGACCCAGTAAGCGACCAATCGATCGGAAGATTAGATCAGCTGATTTCTGCATCGGGCCGGACAGGGGGTTATCATCTTTGCCCACAACAATGTAACCATTGACCTCTCCCCTCTCTTCTTTTGGCTCATCAGTATCCTCGTCCTCACTATTCCAGTCGAAGTCACTTTGGTTAAATCGAAAAGAAAACGTCAGTTTTTCTGAATCCGAATTTATTAAGTACATAAAACACTCGCCATATTCACGGTAGAAAGATTAATAATAATGGTAAAGATGAAACATACTTACACATACATATATATCTTACCTATTCAAATCGTATCTGGTCGCCTTATTCGCAGTGTATTTCCCCTGGTTTTCATTGTCGTCAAACGAAAATGCCAGGCTCATGGCTGGCACCAAGCGGAGCAGAGCTATCAACAGAAGCTTGTTCATTTCGTCGTCTGCTTCAATTCTCAGACTTGGATCCATCCATCTTGGTCCAATGCGCAATTTATGCGCATTGGACGGGGCGTGGGGAGACCTTTTTTGGTTCAAAAACAACAACACATCCTAAAAACTGTGGTAACATAATGAATTGAGAGTATGTACAAGTACTTCTTGTGCGTCCACAATCATCACGGTCAAAACATGACTGCAATACAGTGCCGGTATTTATAACTGCTGAGAATGTTCAACGAGCAATATTTGTCTCAGTCTTTATTTGCATCGAACTATATGCCTCTGTCATCGCCGATCTCTTTTATATTGTTTTTCGTTTTCTCTTTGCTTGTATGTTTCTTTTGTCCCTTAGTTTACACAGAAAGCCTCACGTCAGATGCTCCTGTGAAAGGTAAAATCCAATCCACTTCAATTTTCGGTATGATATTATAACGGAAGGGTTCATAGAATATCGATTCAGTTATGCTGGGAAGAAGGCGCACTGAATGAGAACAGTTTAGTGTTAGATGCAATAGATGGTTTCCCAATGAATGATATGAATATTAGCTTTTTGTGTTTGGTTTATTACGTCTTTTTTTTTTTAATTTCTTTAATTTTTTTAATTTTCCAAGTTTCTTTTTTTTACACAAATATGGAAATATCAATTTTGGTCGCTTTTCCTGTTTATTTCGTGTGAAAACTTAAATCTTAAATAGAGACCCCCCCCCCAGATAATCAAAAGATGTTTTTTCTTCTAAATACTTCCAAAAAAATTCTTAAACATCTTTTCCGAAATAACATTAAAAACTGAAAGCCAAATAGTGCATTTGAAGGATTCAGGCGAACAATTACACACCATAAAAGAACTTTATTCATTTAGAAACTACAAGTGCGTTGCACCTCCCATAATTGACGTAATTCTTAACGTCGTGAACTTTTTTTGGAAAAGGGAAAAATTATTATGATATAGGCCTAATGTGTTTTTCCCCTTACCAAAATTGGGACGACCTTCGGCCTTACGCCATTGGAACTTCCCTTCGCCCTCTTGACTCCGTCAAAACTGAGAGTTACTCTTTCGTCCTTTATTAAACATAATGAGAGTAGTACCCATCGTCCAATAGGCCAATTCAGTTTCCAAGCCGATGCTTTATCAGGTTGTAGTGTCCGCATGTGACTAGATATGTCATAAAAGCAATAGGACGCATTTTTCCGGGCTCAATTAAAGAAATAGGACACAGTTTTTCGCTCTCTATAACGCGATAAGGCCGCGCGGGATGTTGGGGGAAAACAAGGAAAGCTTAAACCCGGTCTCCTAACATTCCAAGTGGCTTTATCATGTTATAGGGCCTGGAAAATTTGTTCTATTGCTTAAATTGCGTATCCCAAGGCTAAACGGGCGATTACACACCGGAAAAGGCCTTTAGTCTCTTTGAAAATGCGATTACGTAGCACTTCCCATAATTGACGCTATTCTTTACAACTTAAACACCTATTTTGTTTAGAAAAAGGAAAATTTAGCCTTTGGAGTTCGTGATAAAGGCCTAGTATGTATTTTCCTTTTGCACCAAAATAGTGACGACCCTTGGCCAAACATCCTTTTCACTTCCGTCATACCTTATAATTACTCTTTATCATGGTAAGTTTGTAAAACGCAACTACAAGAACTCAATACTTTTCTTGAAATAGTTTCGGGAGTAATCTTCTTCATAGTTGGCAGCAAGAAGTTCATCAGTGGACAATAAATAATGCTTTCCAGGTTTGAATAATCGGAATGAAATAGTTGAGGAGATACATGAGCGTGCAAAGATCCTTGTGCCTCAGTTATCCGACGAAATTAGCTACATAATGTAAGTGACATTTAACTGATGAAAACAAGGAAAAGCTGGCAATTTCATGGAAGAGAGGAAATCGTAAAGCGGTAACGTGGAAATGTGAATGGATGGATAATTGTTGACCATTGTTTCTGACAAGCTTTGGAATATGTTTTCGGCAAACTGAAGATGAATTGTTCGTTTCATATTGTGCTTTCTCCAAAGGTATATTTCGGTTTGTAAATAGTGGTAGAGAAATAAGAAGCACTACGAAAATTCATATATCTAAGTTATAAATAAAACACAGTATAGTAAGGCTCAAGTGGAAACGAGATGTATTGCATCTAACAAATGCTTTTCCCATCATGTTCTTTCCAACATAGCTGAATCAATACATTGCCACTTAATGTAATAATTATGTTCCGAAAATAGCTAGTGGACTGGTTTTCACCCGTACTCATTAAGCCATGTCATTTTCAGTGCCAAAAAAACTTATAGCATATGTTAAGCTTAGACTTAAGGTCTCCTTCCTAAAGAAAGGAAAACCTACTTGCTCACATCATGGAACATAAGTACTGAAAGATGAAACAAAAACAACAACGAAACAAAATGAGATGGAAACAAAAACACAATTAGGTTATGAAGGTATGAAAGGCAGGTAAATATCGCTCGTCGAATTTTTTGCGAGAGTTATAAATACCTGGCATTCAGGCTGCATCACGATCATGTTTTGATCAGCGTATAAGTAGTACTTGCAAATAATCTTAAGTCACGATATTGTTATCAGTGTATTTACAGCTGATATTTAGAATTGTTCGTCGTATTTGGACCCAAAAAAAGTATGTTAACGCCCCGTCCAAAGAGTATAAATTGAGTCATTTGGATCCACAACTGCTATCATCGCAGAAGACTTCGAGATGAACAAGCTTCTGTTGATAGCCCTTTTTAGCTTGGTGTTTGCAGTAGGCTTGGCGCTCTCGTTTGATGATGAAGATGATGACGAATACGAAAGAAAATTGACTGCCTTAAAGGACGCCAGAAACGATTTGGAGAGGTATCATAATAACTATATGAGTTTTTTTCTCCCTAATGAAAAGGAATTAATTTTTGAACTTATTAAATTTGGAATATAGAATAGAACAAAGCTAAAAGTTATTTAATCTATTGAATCAATTTGACTTCGAACGGAATAGTGAGGACGTGGACGTAGATGGAGAGAAGCCATATGAGGAGAGGAAAGAGGAGAATGGTTACGTTGTTAGAGTCAAAGATGAACTCCCCTTGTCTGATCCAATGCAGAAATCAGCTGATCCAATCCTACCTGCTTTAGGGCTCAGACTAGTGGGCCATGGAATTAGTCGAGTTATTTTTCGTCGTCGCCGTCGTCGCCGAAGACGTCGTCGAAGAAGATGGGGCTAATGCATTTACACCAGATGCAAAGACGTTCCGTGGCTTTAAAAGGTGAGAGAATCAAGTGTAAGCGTTCGATTAGGATATCATAAGTCAGAATATAGGTGAGTTTAACACTTCACTAAGTTCTAAAGTGATTTAGTCCACTAAAATAATCGTACAAAACTTCCTTTTTGTCATAATTAATCAGTCTTTGCCGAGGTAGGAAGATTTGTTTTATAAGTTACTTAAGTTTTTAGATCCAAAGAATTTCAACTGCATCACTTCTTTCGTTAACTCTAGACAATTGTCACTTGCATTGGATAAACACCTAAAGGTTTTCTTTCGCCTTTAACTTCCTATACATGTTGGATATTACCCTACTGGAATCTCAGAATCGTTCATTTTTTCTAAAATTAAAAGAAATACTACCTTTGTTATATGCACTTGAGGGAAACAATGTTTAACACCTGGGATCTTAACCTTGCAGACTTCAAGAGGATCATCTAATCTGGAGAACGTAAAACCCTTCTTTTTGTTATCGCTGAATTAATTTGCATTGATTTGAACGCATTGTAAAGTGCATAACAAGTAGATTGAAAACTTATATATGCATTTCATTTATGATGGTCTTTGATTTCAATAAAAAGGAATGTGTAACGACTGCCTCTTGTCGTTCGTGACGTATTTAGTGCACCTCAGTCCTTCTTAATAACAAGAGATATCAACAACCCCAAAAAGCACCATATCTGTTGAGTTTGAAGACTCTTACATCATTCCCAAATGGTTTTGATTGCAAGACAAATGTGTCTTTGATTTTTCCTTTTTTTAAATTAAGGTATTTTAATCTCATCTTTACATCGTTTTTCAAATTTCCTTTTTTATGAAAAAAATAGGCGCCCATCCTGACATAATCCTTAACAAGGCGAACCACACTATCGATTGGAACTCTGACAGTTTTCATTCCCCAGGAGAAGTCAACAAGTATGGAGGACACCATGTCTTGTTTAAGAGATAGATAAGGCAAAAGAAAGTTGCACAACAACCTGACTTTAAGGACTGATTGGAACTTACCAATGGTTGTTGACCTTCTTTTCTTGGGTCAATGACATCCCAGCACTGTCACCTTCGTTTCCTGTGTGTACTACCTTTCTATAATAGCAAGAAATGGATAGATATTCTAGTCTTCCCGGATAAAGACGATTAAACCGTAGGTCCCGTCTCCTGAAGGGTTAGGGGTAGGAGACATTAATTTTCTACGCACGAGATTACTGTGTGGTGGATTTCCTCCCCTGGGATGGGATGAATGGGTTTACTGGGCCCGCAGTAATTGGTGCAAGCTGTTGAGGGGTCCCTGCCTGTCGGCGAAGCTAATAAATTAAATTAAATTAAATTAAATGTGTCACTGACACAGCCACTTAAATATTGACCGTTATTGCTATCTTAGGCCATTGCCTTTGACTTCGTTTCCACGAATAGCAAAACCTCTTGATTTTATCACTTGTTTATTTTGTTTGTTTTTTTTTTAACTTAATTCGAACTGCTAATGACAAAAACTATTGACTGAAAAGTTGTTGTCAAGTACATGTGCCTAAAAACTATTCCATGTCGCTTCGATTGACAAACTAAAATGTTGTTTTATTGTGGTTGCCTTCCACCACCTTTCGCATTCATAGATAAAACTTTATAAGGCAATTGTAAACTTTAATTTCTTGATTGTGGTTTGTTATGCGAACCATACCATCTTAGTTCGCAAGCTAAGACCATTGGAAATGCCAGGTCGCGCTATCAGCTGGATACTACATATCTAACGGACAGTTTCTATATAGTTAAATTCGTGGCAGGGGGCTTTTTGTCAAATACCATGAGACCCTTTCCCTACCGGGCTTCCCTGAAGTTACCAAATTGAATTAAATTTCTGCCTTCAATGTATCCCACCAAAGCTATAACGAATGGTGTATTCATCAAAAGTAAAGCCTTTCTCGTTTGTTAACTAATAGCGCCGAGAAATACGTTTCTTTACGAACAGAGCCTCAAAAGAAGACGGCTAAATTCCTATATTCCTTTTGACATGATTGAAGGACGAACTTACCGAACATTAAACTATTCCTCTT